CTCTTGAACTTGTGTAACGCTGTCATAAAACGTTCTTTTCATAGCCAGTTTGAGTTTTGGAAACAAAAAATAGTTACACGAAGATAAATCAGGTGAATACGGAGGATGTTGAAACACACAGACTTGTTTTTTCGCCAAAAATTCACGAACTGCGACGGTCCTGTGAGGTGGTGCATTATCGTGCAAGAAAAACCAACTTCCCGGCGCTCGATATTCAGGCCTCACTCGAATGATTCTCTTCTATAAACGCTCCAAAACACCCAAGTAATATTCACCTGTGACATTTTGACCGCTTGGAACGAATTCCCGAAGAATAATACCTTTGGAATCGTAAAAACAAATTAACATTGTCTTCTCTCGTGACTTCTGGAAATGCAATTTTTTCGATTTTGGAGAGCCTGGGGACTTCCACGTTGCACTTTGGCGCTTTGTTTGAGGACCATACTTAAAGCACCATGTCTCATCACCAGTTACAATCGATTTTAGAAATGTGGAGTTTCGTCTGGCTGTTTTGATGAGGTCCTTGCAGTGTTCAATGAGAGCAATTTCTTGGTCCTCATTTATGGCGTGAGGAACAAAACGAGCACAGACTTTCCGTTTGTTTAAATCCTTTGTCACAATTTCGTGAATCATGTCTTTGGTCGTATTTAATTCCTCCGTCATCCATCTCACAGTCGAATTCGGTTCATTGGCGATCATTTCACGCACTTTTTCTACCAACTCTTTGCGATTTTTATCTTTTAGGCGGCCTACCCTAGGATCGTCTCCAAAGCTTCACGACCGTTCTGGAATCGCTTGTACCACTCGAACACATGTGTACGGGATAAGCAATCATCACCATGAACTTTTTTCAGCAATTCAAATGTTTCCGTAAAAGTTTTACCGAGCTTGAAACAAAATTTAATATTAGCTCTTTGTTCCATCGTGTTTTTGCGATGAGATGACTAATGTATACTAATACTATCACTTTAAGCGTTATAGCTTGACAATTCGTTGATCGATTTCAATGAAGTTAGTCTCGTTTTGTAAATAACATATGCAGCTTTTAGAGTATATATTGTCTCAAAAGATGGCGTTAGTAGTTTTTTTTTTTATTCAAAAAGTTCCGTTATTTTTCCGACATACTGTGTACTGCCGAACAATTAATATCACTTGATTGCACGTAAAAATTCTGAACATATCAGAATTATGTTCTCTAATACTTTCTTTCTCTGTTTTTATGTGTTTTTATTTGCACATCTAGAAGGTTTCCTTCTTACACGGACTCCTGCGCATCTCTCAACTCTTCTTTTCTGAAATTACTGATCAATCTCTCAGTTGGTCTTCAATAAGTCAGATAGATCAAATATTATCGGGTAACCAATGACTCTTCACCGATTGCTTCGTTCCAACACAATGCAACCGGTCCTCTAGCGAAACGAAAGAGCTCGGGCGAGTTGACAGGTAAACTATGAGGTAAAATCGACGACCGCCGATAACGAAGAGGTATCAAAATAGGGAGTTCACTCCGGAGTGAGTGCCTCTCTCTGTTGGTTCGTCCCGACGTTTCAGTGGTCCCGGTGCCGCACCGACCGATGAAACTTGTTGCCTTCTAGCGCGCGCTGTCGCGATCAAAGAAAAACGTGAGTGTTATGTCTGTACGGGTGGTCTGCATCGGATCTAGTTCAACGATCGACGTGCTGATCGATAGCTCATTGACTCATCGCATCGTCGGTCCGGAATCATCAGTTTGAGTAATACGCGGTATATTATTAATATTAATATCGCGCTTCGAGCAAAAGTCGAATTCATCGAACACATATTAACACACGAGGATACTAAAATAAATCAAATATTAATTGAATGTGTGTCATTTATCATTACACGTTCTAATATTCGACATAATAATTGGCAAGTGCTTGATATATCTCGTTTTATACGCTGCAAAAATTCGCACCGGTCTTTCAGTAGAAAATTAAAGATGCATATCATATGAAGTTCATAAATCAGAATTTCCTTAAAAGGATATGTGGCCGATATTAATGTTTCACGATTGTAACCCGGAATACTCAAGTCGCATAGGGGAATGTATTAAATAGTCATAACTCTTAATTAGTCGCTTAATTGGTCGTTAGAAGAGTATCATCAATTCGGAATTAAGTGTGTGAAAAACATGCCGAGCAAAGTAATTGTATCTTTTTAATAATAAATCTAGAATTAATGGTCTATCTTTTGAAACTAAATCAAAGAAACTAAGAAGATTAGTTCTTTATTTAGCATCTGTGATTAATTATGCTACACGAATAAAATTCTGTTGCTAATAATGTTCTTCTCATTGAATTCCAAGTGACGTGAATAAACTAAATTAATGATGAGATTAAAATTACATAGAACAAATAGATATTGAATTTTAACGAGAAATTGTTAGCTGAAAATTTAAAATGCATTGTGGAAATGTTTTATATCATACGGGAACAAAATGTGAAAATATTAATTTGATGATATTTTGCACAATTAATTGTTTTTTATGTTATCAAACTGGATTTGAAAGTAGAGAGACGGCCAATAAAGCGAACACATGCGTGATATGTTTTACAAGTACAATCGAATTTGAGGTCAATAAGTGGATAGGTGCATTATAGAATCTCATTTGAATACTGAATTTCCAATGGAATTAACGGTTTTAGAAAGTCGCGAAACAATTAACAGAACGGAAACTATGCAAGAATGGTCATAAAATCGAAGGACGATTTACGTCAACAGTCAATTTCCGGAGGAAATTGGAAATCGTTTTGTTACGTTAACGTAAAATTTTAACGCATTGCGGAAACATTTTATTGCTATACCAGTAGGCAGCTATTTTTTTGCGTCAAATATTTTTTAAGTTACTTATGGTTTGTTAGTAGTTAAAAAGTTGTCATACAGATACAGATTGATACATTAAAGATCCCTGTGTTTTCATGTCAATAAAAAGTAAAAGCACTAATACTATTGAGGAACTGGATATGCATGAAAATGAGAAATGAGACATGGATAAGAATAAGGAATCAAATATAGATGCAGATCATGGCACAATAGATATGAGATAAGATAAGAATAAGGATGGCTGGACTCTGGTAACAAATAAACGAAATAAATAACTTTTCTTTTGTATAAAAGATATCTTTAGTTAGCAATTTTTTCTTATAAAGGAATGGAAAGACGTAGGAGAAGAGAAAAAAACATACCTTGACAACCACAATATAACACGCGCGCATTCGTTCCACAGTCATACAAATTTCAGCTCTAAAATTGTCTACAAAAATACTTTTTCCTAAGCAGCCTTTCAAAATGTTCCTAAAATGTTATTTAGCAAGCGTATCTTCTATATCTGTGAAAGTAAAATAAACAGTGACTTTATTTTAGTCAACTCCGTTTAATAATATATTGAAATTGTAAGAACATCACCTTTCCCATTTTGATGAACACTATAATAGCCGTTCTGATATTGCATAATTTGATTCTTTTGCTTGCTTTTTGATTTTCTCTCGCCAGGTCCCGCTAAACTCAATATTACCGGCAGAAACAACAATCCGTGAAACAAACCAAACAATATTACGGATGAAAATAGCTAAAACAATATAAAACATGTACTTATGTATACAACGTATGCAAAAAAAACATGCATTTATGGTCGTATGTATACCCATAAAACAACATATTTTCGTTTTTTTTTTGTTTCGCGATAATTGTATTTTTAAATATATTGATTTCATACCTTAAAGAATGTCATAAAAATATAAGCTCGGCTAAAGCCTAGCAGGACAAAGGCAAGAAATGTGCTCAAACCACCATTCAATACTGCTGGTCCAATAACGCTGAATGTTGTCAGTGCTCGTTCTGCAAGTATAATAAGATAGACAAAATTTTAATACATAATCGAATTGTATTATTAAAAAATTTTGAGTAATAATAATCTACTCCTTAAGCTATTATTTAAGGACACATTTGCTCTGCAATAAGTTCATATAATTGCATCAATCATAAATTAACTGATTTTTTCATAATAATAAATTTTTTTTAGTTAACTAATGTCAATTTAAATTCTTAAAAATCTTCTGGGATAAAAATAACCTTGTTTACTGCCGCTTGAGCGTATAAATTCCAATCCGATGTGCGCGGCGTAATCGACCGCCAATCCGGCGCACAATAGAATTGTAATACTTGATGAAACTTCTACAGTCAATCCTAGAAAGTACATGGAGCCCAAAAGATTGATGAGTGTGAACAATACGCAACACATCACCCAAAATGACGCGATTAGATTCCTAAGAAATACCAATGTTACCATTCCTACCGCCAGTATCTCCAGACTCAAGTTCCTAATTAGTTCTTCGCCAATTATCTGCAACAACAATTATTCAGCAATATATTTCAAAAGGATTTCAATAAAGAGAATTTTCTTTACCTTATTTGTCGCCCATCTTATTAAATCTGTCGAGTGAATTGCAATGTAATCGTGCCCGTAAGTGAAGTTCACCGATTTCACGGCATCTCTGATTGCTTGCATAGCTCTTATCTGATCGGACGTTGTGCTGATAGGAATGTGTTGTACTGGAATCTGCGAAGTCTGAAATTATTCGTCTCGTGAAAAAGTGTTTCGCATCTGCGGAATGCATAGGACGCAGCATTCTATTTTACGTACTGTGATGTTGTAGTCGTTAAACGGTAATTTACTGAATTTTATATCCTGAATGTACGCTTGGCCTTTCACCGAGAATAACAGATATTCCGTGAGAATATTGTAATACTCGTCTTTATCCTCGATGTATTGCGCTGATAGAAGATTGTATCATATTATTATAATAAACAGCATTTATTTACTAAATATTCACGCTAAGTCTCTTTATAACAAGATCAGATTACCTTTGCCAGTGATGTTCAACCACTTCTCATACGCTACGAACCATGGGTCGAGAGTGTGATTATTGACGTACGGGTCCCGTCTGAGATTCTCCACTAGTTGAAACAGCGCTTCGCGATCCTCATAATAATCCACGCCCGTCAGATATATATTGACGTTCTTGCCGTATCTTGGAAAGTATTTCATCAGTTTGTTGTTAAACTGTATTGGGTAAGATTCCTGATTCAAGTACATGAGCGCATCAAAGTTCTGTTGCAGCTGAAATATGGCCCAGATGTTGATGCACAGCAGGGCT